ATTGACCAGAAGTTGACCAGCAGTTGACCAATGGTTGACTAATGATTAACCAGAAGTTGACCAGCAGTTGACCAATGGTTGACCAGCAGTTGACCAATAGTTGACTCATGATTGACCAGAAGTTGACCAGCAGTTGACCAGTGGTTGACTACAGATCCGTAGTTGACCAGCAATTGACAAATGGTTGGCAAACAGTTGACCAATAGTTGACCAACAGAACCTGCATTAAGGGGCTTGGACTGGGGGATCTGCGGAGGTCCCTTCCAGCCCCCCGTGCTCCTGGATTCTGGGAGGAGGGTGACGCTCAGGATTGCTGCTCACACCACGTCTCTGCCCGCAGCGTTCCGCTGCCCGACGTGCTGGGGAAGGCGGCCAGCACACACCTGGACCAGAACCTGTACCGCTTCCGCAGCACCAACCTGGAGCAGGTGGTGCGGGCGGCCCTGAGGCTGAAGCACGAGGAGCTGAGCCTGCCGGCCGTGCTGGAGCAGGCGGAGGACTGGCTGTGCCGGCTGCGGGCCATGGCTGAGGAGGTAACGCCGCGATGTCCCAGTCCCCACCGTTGCCTATGGCTGAGGTTTCGTGGGGTGGTGGCACTCGGTGTAGAGAAGCTTCACCAGGGAGCTGTCGGTGAGAGCAGATGGTTTGGTTCTGTGATGCTCTTTCCGAGGCAATGCTTGGCTTGTTTTGCCCTGGTGCTAAAAGAGAGAGGGAGCAGTGAGTTGAGAGACGTACAGTGATTCAATCCAGAGCACCAATAGAATGACACCCACGGAACGTGCTCTGCGTGTGTTGGAGGGACAGGAAGCAATCAAGTGACGTCTGGGAGTATCATCATAGGGTCCTCTGAGTTGGAAGGGTCCTCCAAAGACCTTCTGATCCAACTGACAGCCGGAAGTCATTTCGGTCCAACCGCAGTCGTTATCAAACTCCAATCTTAGATGATCCAACACCTCACAGTGCTGACTGCTCCTTTCTGGTCATGCTGGCCAACAAAGCTCTTGGCTGTGGGGCTTCTCGTGCAGAATCAGGGTTGGGAAAGCTGATAAAAGGCTGAGGAGCAGTATTCAGCAGGATGGGTTTCAGGTAACTCCTGTGTCTTTTGGGTCGTTTACCACTGCAGATTTGGGTTTCTTTTTACGTGGCAGGTTATGTGGAGGCCCGAAAGTCAGTGGGGCTTCATGTGCCAAAGAGATCCGTGGCCGCGCACCGTAGGGAAGGCGTAGCAGTAACCAGGATTCCAGCAGTAGCTGGAATATTCACTTGCTCATTTTATTTCCTGAGCTTCCTTTTACACATCACATCCCAGAGCTGATCTTAAATTAAGAGGTTGGACCACAGGTCTCCCGAGATCCCTTCCAACTGAACGCACTGCGAGCCCCAGAGGTGTCGTGGCCCGTTCTTCCATCTGGCACTTCGTGTTGCTTTCGTTCCCAACCCAAATGGACAGCCACGACCCGGGTGGGACGCGGGGCCGGGATGCTCAGCCCTATAGGCTGGGAGCTGGCAATGGGGCCTGGAATCCTTGGGGTCAGGGGTCTGCGTCGATCTGTAACGCCCGCACTCCTCTGCAGCCCCAGAACAGCCTCCCAGACGTGGTGATCTGGATGCTGCGGGGCGAGAGGCGCGTTGCCTACGCCCGCGTGCCGGCCCACGAGGTTCTCTACTCCCGTGGTGGCCCCAGCTGCTGTGGGAGGAACTGTGGCAAGCTGCAGACCATCTTCCTGAAGGTTCGTGGCCTTTCTGCACGCGCCTGCAGAGCTCAGCTCCTCGTGCGCCCCGCGGCGGCTCCCTGGGACCGCTCTCCTGTTTTGTGCGCCGCTCTTTCCGCAGTACCCCCAGGAGGAGGCGATGGGGCCACGGATCCCAGCCCAGATCCGCGTCCAGCTCTGGTTTGGGCTCTCTGTTGACGAGAAGGAGTTCAATCAATTCGCTGAGGGGAGGCTCTCCGTCTTCGCTGAAACCGTGAGCATCTGGCAGGGCTCCTCCACTCTGCGTTCTCCTGCTCCGTGGGTCCTCCTGGAGGGGGCAGGGTGTGGGGTGGGCCCCGGTGAGGGTGTGGGTGCTGTGGGGCTCCCTTCTGACCTAGAGAAGAGCTGATTCCACTGGTGAGGTGGAGGGGGATCCGGGTTCCCATCCTCCTCCCTCTTGCTGGGGGTGGAAGCTGGGGCTGCCCGCAGGAGGGCTGGGGGCTGCTGGGTGCGAGAGGCTCTTCCCACGAGTTGGTGCTCAGGATGGGCTGCGAGTTCATAGAGTCACAGAGTCCTTTAGGTTGGAAAAGCCCCCTGAGGTCATCAGGGCCAGCACTGCTGTCACAAAACCACGTCCCTAAGCATCACACCTGCGTGTCCTTCAAGTATTTCTTAGAACCGTGGGGTGGTTTGGGTTGGAAGGGCCCTTAAAGCCCATCTTAAAGCTCCCTCCCCCCCCTCCACGGGCAGGGTTGCCACTCGCTGGACCAGCTTGCCCACAGCCCCCTTGTACCTCTCACCCCACTGCTAACACCACATCTCTTCTGGAATCTCAGTACGAGAATCAAACCAAGCTGGCACTGGTGGGGAACTGGGGCACCACCGGCCTGACTTACCCCAAATACTCCGATGTCACCGGCAAGATCAAGCTCCCCAAGGACAGCTTCAAGCCCTCCACGGGCTGGACCTGGGCCGGTGATTGGTTCATCTGCCCGGAGAAAACGTGAGTGATGTTTTTATTGCGAAACCGCGTGGGGTGGGAGCCCCTAAAATGTGGAGTTGGGGGTGAGGTCACCCCCCAGAGCATCCTTGGTGCGCAGCGATGTCGAGGTGTTGTATGGCTGCTGGGTGACGACCCAAGGTACAGCCCCAGGTTTGCAGCTCCCATTTGGGGAGGTGGGCGCTCGGGGGCAGTAGGGTGGGATCCCCATTGATGAGCACCGCTTCTGGGTGCAGGATGCTGCACGAGGCGGACGCGGGGCACCTGAGCTTCGTGGAGGAGGTGTTTGAGAACCAGGTGCGGCTGCCGGGCGGGCAGTGGATCCACATGGCTGACGCCTACACCGATGTGGTAAGGATCGAGTGGATCCCCGGGGTGCTGCGCAATGAGGGGGGCGATGGGTGGACGTTGTTCCTCCTGGTGTCCCGCAGAATGGGGAGAAGGTTCTGCCTAAGGATGAGATCGAGTGTCCTCCGGGCTGGAAGTGGGAAGATGTGGAGTGGGACACCGACCTCAACAGAGCCGTGGATGAGAAAGGTATGAGGGGGCAGATTCGGGTGTCCGTGCCGCTTCAGCCTCTGAACTCTGCCTGCTGGGGGTTTCTTTCCATGCTCCCATCTGGGGATGGAGGTGTCAGCTGCTGTGGCTCAGCCCCTGGTGTTCCCTGTCCCTGGGGATCTGGCCCCGTCTGGGTCTGCGGGGCAGCGCTTCGCTGCTGGAAAGGCAGCATTCTTTGGGTGCATCTTACCTGGCTTCTGGGGAGAGAGGGCTGGTGAGCGTCTGAGATCACTGAACTGCAGCA